CTTGGACCCCGCATCTGCAGCGCTTCCGGGCCGAGGAGGGTGGCCACCCGGAGGGGGCGGCGGGCCGGGGCTGTATCGAGGAGGAAGCGGCGGAATCAGGGGAGGCGGCCCCGGAGCCCTAACGCCCTGCTGCAGCCCCTCAGCGCTGAGCAGCTTTTCCTGCGCACCTTCCTTGAGAGGATTCTAGGGAGGGCCCTAGAAAGACGTAGGGAAAGGTCCGAGCCAAGGCGGGGGACGGCGTTATGAAGGCCCTGGGTTAAGTCCCCAACACCAAAAAAATCGGGAAAGTAAAATTTTCTTAAAACTTTTTAAAAAGGGACTATGTAGCTCAGTGCAAAGGACGACATTCAAGGGGCGGCGGGGGTGTTGTGGTAGTAAATGATGAAAATTGTTATGGTGAAAGGATAACCAATGCTACTAGAACTGAGGAAGACGAAGGAGGGAAGTACCTGCCACCCCCAGGGTTTTTGCAGGGTTACATCGCAGCTCTTTATTGTTTGGGGAAGGAGGCAGTAGTGGGGGCTGAACCAAGGGACTGCACACTTGAGCTACATCCTCAGGCTTTTGAGACAGGGTCTCCCTAAATCATTAAGTCACTCAAGTGAGAATGAAATTCCTAATTCTACCTCAGCCTCCTTGAGTACTTGCATTTCAGATGTCACACTTCTCCAACACTCTGGAAGACAGCAAAAGATCGAACCACTGTGCTTTTTTATCTTTATTTTTTTGGGGGGTTGAGACAGGGTCTCAACTATGTAGTTGAGACTGACTTGGAATTCACTATGTAGCCCAGGCTGGCCTCGAACTCACAATGATCCTCCTGCCTCAGCCTCCAGAGTGCTGGGATTACAGGCATGTGCCACCATGCCCAGCTTTTATTTTTTGTCTTGCTATGTAGTTCAGGCTGGCCTTTAACTTGGCGGGGGGATCCTCCTGCCTCAGCCTCCCTGGTACTGGGAATTAAGGGACTGCACCACCACCAGTTTTGACAGTCTCCTTTGTAGGGCAGGCTGGCCTAGAACTCCAGAATGCTGTGATTACTGGCATGTACCACCACACCTGGCATGGGCCTTGTGACCCTACTTAAACTTCCTAGAATTCTGGGATCATAGGCATGCCCCACAGTGCCCAGCTAGGAAGATGCTAATTTTGGCTTTACTTCTTTCCATCTGCATGACTGTAGAATACAGAACACTCTTGTTTTGGGGATATGGTCTCGCTATGTACCATAGTTCAGGCCAACCAATTCATGGTGATCTTTCTACCTCAGGCTCCCAGGTACTGGGATCACAGGGGTGCACCATCACCCATGGGGACACAAAACGTGTTTGGACAAATGCTTTATCCACCCATCCTGGATGCTAAACGTTTCAAGCTTGTTTCCAAATCTGTCATGTGGAAACAAGTAGCACTTCACAATGACAGCCATTCATTTAGTAGGAATCAAACGAGCATATGTCAGATTAAGGGGAAGGATAAAAAATGGGTAAATGGGGCCGGGAATTTAGCTCAGTGCTGCCACTGCCTGCCTTGCAAACACAAGGTCCTAAATTCAATCCCTGTACTTAAAAAAAAAAAAAGGCATCGAACCAAGCCGGGCATGGCGGCACATGTCTCTAATCCCAGTACTCTGGAGGCTGAGGCAGGAGGATCAGAGTTAGGGGCCATCTTGGGCTACTGAGTTCAAGGCCAGCCTGAACTAGAGGAAGACCATCTCAAAAAACAAAAGAGAGGGCCGGGGATTTAGCAGTGGTTCGTCCATCTTGGGCTACTGAGTTCAAGGCCAGCCTGCTCTAGAGGAAGACCATCTCAAAAAACAAAAGAGAGGGCCGGGGATTTAGCTCAGTGGTTCGGTGGCCTGCCTTGCAAGCGCAAGGACCAGAGTTCAATCCCGGGTACCAACCAACCAACAAGCAAACAAACAAAAAAACCCCACACACAGAAGGCAGAGGCTTTTTCCAGTTAACCTACATGGAGACTAGTCATCACAAAGGCAATGGAGAGGGAGTGGGCAGATTCAAGACTCCAGAGAACCCACTGATCTTACCCATTAGACAGAGGAGAATCAGGTATTATGGTCCTCTAACACTCTGGAAGCCTGAAGCAGGACTGCAAAAGATCAAAGCCTTGTAGAGCTCTAAGTACCAATTACAGGGCCCAGGATTTAGCCTGCAGAGCTGGGCATGATGCCACACACCTGTAATACCAGCACTCAGGTGGAGGAAGACAAACCTGGACAATTAATTTTGTTGAAATTCTGTCGGTCTCAAAATACTGCCATACAGCTTTCTAGGTGCTACAAACATGGCCAGGAAGCAAATACCTTGTTTCTCTGGGTTGGGGGAGGAAACACCTTTCCTCTAACAGCAAAGACAGCCAAAGAAGCAAGCAATTCAAATGACCATAATTTGTTAGGTTAAGGGTAAGGATAAAAAACAGGTAAACTAAGCCAGGAATTTAGCTCAGTGGTGCAGCCAGCAGCTGCGCAAACACAAGGTCCCAAATTTGATCTCAGATATCAAAAGGGGGGGGGTAAACTGAGACAGTATGGAAAGGGTGAGTGACTTGTTTCTGTAATACACTGGGGGCCAACCAAGGACCACCTGAGTCTGTGAGGACAGCCTAGAGAACACAGCAAGACACTTTGGAAACTCAAAACCAAACTGCTGGTATGGTGGCACATGCCTGTAATCCCTGCACTCAGGAGGCTGAGGCAGAAGGATCATCCCAAATTTGAGGCCAGCCTGAACTTCACTGAGACTGTCTCAAAACAAACAAAAAGATAACAAAGCCTATTCTCCAACCAGGCAGAGATCTCCAGGGTGGCAGAGACCTGGAGGGCATGAGTCAACCTGGGTATCTGTAGGAGAGGCTCCACTACCGGGAATAGTAGACTCGTGTCTAGCAAGGCCAGGGTCAGGGTGAGTATCATTATCACCTGGCAAGGATTTTCATTCATGAGATGGAAAATAACCTTGCCAGGCCCAGTGACATAAGCCAATGATCCCACCAAGGAGCAAATTCTAGGGCAGCCTAGACCTTGAGACTCTTGTCTCAGAAACAAACACTAAAAGGGGCTGAGGATATAGCTCACTGTCTGTGCACATTTGAGCATGAATGCCAAGAAAACAAATAAGTGATCTTTGGGCTAGGAGTGTAGTGCTGCCTCAGTGGTAGAGAACTTACTTAGCATGTATTCAGCTCCAATTCCCAGCATTGTAAAAAACAGCAGCCCATCCCTACAGACCCAGCTACTCAGGACTATGGAAGGAGGATCAGCCTGGACAGTACAGTGACACCATTTTAAAAATAAATGACTAGATAGAAGGGATGGGGATTTAGCTCAGTGGTTCAGCTGCCTGCTTCACAAGCTCAAGGACCCAAGATAGATCCCCAGTACCAAAAAAATTATGGGTCAGAAGCCTGGCATGGTGGTGGACACCTACAGTCCCAGTACTTAGAAACTGAGGAAGGATTGCCACAGGCCAGCCCAGAATATAGAGACCTTGTCTCAGAAAAACCAGTTGCACTTAGACAATTGCTACAGATGGTAAAGTTGAGAAAGAGGAGGGGCCCGTGGTAGATGAGATAACCTTTGAATCTTGGAAAAGTCCTATTGTAATATCCAAGTGCAAATCAAACAGATCAGAGGGCTGGGAATTTAGCTCACTGGTTCCGCCGCCTGCCTCGCAAGCACACAAAGAGCTGAGTTCAATCCCCGGTACCAAAAACAAAACAAAACACCAAAAAAACCAAACAGGTCAGGGTTAAAGTTTAGAAAGCTTTCCAAAGACGCAAGGTTTTCTTTTGTATTTTGAGACAGGGTCTTGTTATTTAGCCCAAGCTGATCTCAAGTCACAGTGATCCTGACTCAGCCTCCCATGTGTTGGGATTACAGGGGCACCACCCCATCCAACAATACATAATGCAATGCTAATGGGGGGCAGGTTGAGAACAAAGAGACTTCCTGAAGCAAACATCACTAGTATCATTTTAAAATTCTGAGTGGTGAGGAGGTTAGGGACTTAACTATATAACCTGCTTTCAGCAATGCAGTAAAGATTCAAGGTTTTCATACCACTCACAAATTCATTTATAAACTCACCCGGCTGAAGATGTAGTTTTAGTGGCAGAGTATATGCTTAACATTCACAAGGCCCTGGTTCTGATCCCTACACATACACACAATCGTAGGTCCGGGAATTCAGCTCAGTGATGCTGAGCCTGCCTTGCAAGCACAAAGTCAAGTTCAATTCCCAGTATGGAAGAGGGGTTGTGCACAAACACAATCTTACCCAAATACTTACAACACAGGGTCTTTACAACTTTACAGAACATTCATACAACATGAACATAGAACAATAAACACTTTATTACATGGGCTATGCCAAGAAAGAGGACTTATTTGCCTTTCCGGGCCTTGATTTTCCTCAGATAGAACTCCAGCTCTTTGCCCTCTAGCACATAACCATCTGCGCGCCCACACTGGCCTGGTCTTGATGCAATGCAGGCTGCAAAAAGAGTATGTGGTACTTAGCAAAATGACAAAGAGGTCCCATCCAATTCTATCTATCCTTTAAGAAAAAACTATGTTGGTTTTGGTACCCCAGGGGCAGGCATGAAGCCCATGTCTTCTCAGATACACTTTATCACCACTTAAAAATCAGTAGCAGAACTGGACAAAGTTTTCATCACTGAGACAGCCCCCTCAACTTGAGAATGGACTTCTGAATATATTCCTGAAACCCCGAGGTCACGCTCTCTTGGTGAATCCTCTAGACCAAAGGACTGGTAGCCAAGACAACTAAGGCAAGGATATAACAGGGTGTTCACTGCACAGTTGTGAGCCCCACTTCCCCAACACACAGGATGTCTCACCAAGAAGCTTGCCCTGCTGGAACTGCTCCTCCAGAAGACTGCTGATTTTGGCATTCTTTTTCCTTTCGTCATACTTCTTTTGAATTTTCTTTGATCGTTTCTTGTTTAAAATCTCTTCCTCCTCAGGAGTCTGAGTAAACAGAATACAAATGATTAGCTCAGACCATTAGAATCTTCTCAAAGCCTGCACAACTCAATACCCACCTTCCTCAGTACTAAAATCTTTCATCTCTCTCCCTTCAGCAGCAGAACTGGACAGTTTTCATCACAAGAAGGCTCAAGGCAGGCAGAATTCCCCTCCCCCCCCCGACACAGAAGTTACACGCACCAGCTTGGCACCCTTCTTGCGGCCCAGGGGCAGTGCATAGTGGGATTCGTACCACTGTCGGTACGGCGTGCTGTCAACGAGCACAATGCAGTTCTTCACCAGGGTCTTGGTGCGGACCAGCTCATTATTGGATGCATTGTAGACAACATCAATGATCCTTGTTTTTCGGGTACAACCTGCTCACAAGAGATTTAGAATCAAGTCACATGAACCACAGGACAACTGGTCTGCCCTCCCCAGTTTCTTCCCAGAACCTCTACCCAGCCACAGAGCACCAGCTCTTTTTACACGATAACTTCACCTTTTCAGGTGTTTGGCAACTATAGCCTCCACAATCAACTCCAAACCCTCAGGTTTCAGGTGTTACAAAACCACCCACTTCCACAGAGCCCCACTCACATTCAGAACCCCAGGAGAAATTTCCTACATCCAACCTCAGGGCACGGTACTTCTTGTTGCCTCCTCGAACTCGGACTGTGTGTATGCGTCGGGGGCCAATCTGGGAAACATAAGAACTGGGTTATCAAGGACTGCAGGCCACAATCAGAGGGGAGCCTGGGCTGGACGGAGGCAACGGTCAGTGTAACTATGACAAGTCCTTGCATCGGCAAATGGCAGAAAAGTGACCAAGACGGCCACAGCCACGCCTAAGGATACTTCTTCATCACGCTTAGTTGCCTTTAAGTGGAAAAACCTGTATCCAAACACTGAAAACTAATCAGTCTCGATGGAACAAAAATAACCAGAATTCTATTTATCACCACCAGAAGACTTCCTGGTCCTAGTACACAGGGCCTCCTTTCAACCCTATGCTCGTGGTGTAGGGCGCACACAAAATCCTATTTCTTTATAAAGCTCATTCACCACGTCTAGTGGGGAACGTTGTCCAGACCCTACCACAAAGAAAGCACAGAGCCCAAGAAAGAACCTACAACAGCCACATGTTAAGAACCAACAAAAGGACCGGGGATTTAGCTCAGTGGTTCCGCCGCCTGCCTCGCAAGATGAAGGACCCATGTTCGATCCCCAGTTCCAGAAAACAAAAATAAAAAAAACACAAAGAACTAAAACTACACAGCAGGGGAAGGAGACCTTCTGGGAACGAGGCCAGGCAGCACCCACCTTAGTGTTGGCAGCAGGGCGACCCAACTCATACTTCCGCTTCTTGTGGTAGGGCTTTCTTTTGCCCCCAGTCTTGCGGCGCTTGTGCCAGTTGTCCCGAGAGATGCCTGCATGCGGGAGCGGAGAAAGCTTGAGCCATCGGGACTCAGCGCCGGCGGTTCGCCCCCTCTGGAGCCCCGCACCAGCCGGCCGCACGTTCAGCTCTCCAAGGTTGGCTTCCCCACTGCTCAGTCGGGGATGTGCAGCACTACCAAGGTGTCATCATACACGTGCGGCCTGACCCGTTGCTTGCAGCGGCAGCCATGTTGGTACCGCTGGCAGCCCCAGGTCCCTTACGGGCCCCACAGCGGACTTCCGCAGCCAAAACCCGAAAGCCATAATCCCTCGGGGCTGTTCGTGACCGGGGGTCTTGGTACTTGCCCTTCTAAGTTGGGTGCGAGGCAGGATGGCACCTGATTGAACTCAGCCCCGCCGCAGCCCAAGTACAGACAACAACTCACCCATCGCTCGGCGCCGGCTGGAAAGAGGAAACGCAAAGGCTCACGGTTCGATTTGTGAGACGCTGCCCCACCCCTTTTGCGTCTCTTCCGGGCACCGTGGAACGAGCTGGCGGCGCAGCGCGATGGCGTTTAAGGTCTTCCCGCGGTGCTGAGGACCCGGAATTTAGGAAGGCTTTAGAGGGGTCCTTTTGTCTGAGGAGCCTCGCCAAACCAGCTTTTGGATCATGTGAACCTGGGTGTGCCGCGCTTCGTAAGAGAAGCGGAAAACTTTTAAATCAGACGTAGTGGCGCACACCTGTAATCCAGCACTCAGGGCGGCCGAGGCAGGAGGATACAAAGTTCTAAAAAGCGTGTGTGGCAGCACACGCCTGTAATCCCAGCTCTTTGGGAAGCAGTGGCAAGAGAATCCAATTTGAGCCTAGTTTGGGCACATTAGTAATTTAGTTTGACCTCATCAACAAATACTATAATGAAGAAGGGCCGGGCCTGTAGCTCAGTGCAAAAGCTCGGGGTTTGATCCCCAGTACTACAAATAACAATTTTACCTCAGTCTGGGCAACATAGCAGCTAAACAAGATCTTGTCTCAAAATAAGAAAAAAAGGTTATGCTGAAGGGCGCGGGGGAGTGTTTAGGGTCCAGCTGAGCATGGTTATATTTTGAAAAATGTTTTTCAGAAATTAATGCAGCAGCCAGGCTTGGTGGCTCGCTCCTGTAATCCCAATATTTTGGAGGCTGAGGCAGGAGGGTTATTGAGTTTGACACCAGCCAAAACTACATAGATACTTTGCCTCCAAAAAAAAATTGGGGCTGGAGATTTAGCTCAGTGGTGTAAACGCCTGCCTCACAAGCACAGGGTCCTGAGTTTGATTCCCGTACCAAAAAAAAGTGAATGCACCAGTCCAGAGTAGAAACGTGGGTGCGGTTTGCGGGGAAAGGCTGGAAGGCAGTGAGTGTAGAGGGTGGACTTGGGTTTTTGGGGAAAGGCTTTGGGGATAGGTTGAACACGGGGGTGAAAGGAGATGGATGTGTCAAGAGTTTCTGCATTTCTCACTTGATCAATTGGGTGGATATTGGTTCCGTCTACTAAAATGATAGATTAGGAGTTGTTCTGAACGCAGTGGTTTTACTTTTTATATTACATTATTTTATTTTACTCTTGATACCGGGAATCAAACCCAGGCCCTTGTGCATGCAAGGGAGGTGGTGGAACCACTGAGCTAAATCCCCAGCCCCCTTGAACACACTGGTTTTGATACCCAGATGAACTGTAAATGGGAATGACAGGTAGACAGTGGGATATTTCTATCTGGTCATCCTTAGAGAAGAGGTCTGGACAGAAGATGGTGCTCTGGAGTCATTGGTATAGAATGATCCTGAAAGCCACCGGCGAGAGGAAACCGAGGTAGATTTCGGGGGTAGGGAGTGGGGACTGAATAAAGAAGTTGGCAAACTTATGAAAGGTAAAATACGCAGGGAAAAAGACTCAGCTCTTCTGTCTAGTGTTGAAAGCAGCTGTAGAGAATAGTAAACAGAGTGAATCCGTGTTCTAGTTAAGCTATTTGTGGCCATGGCAGTTTGAATTTCATAATTTTCAAGTGTTACATGTAAATAAAATAAATGTATGAGACTGTTCTTTTGAATGAAGTTCCTGCATTAAGGTCCCAAGAGACTAAGCTAAATGTCAACATAGAGGGCCTGAGGATATGGTTCAGCATTGCTGAGGCCAAAGGGTCCATTCCTAGAACTGCAAAAATGACAAAGTAAATGGTGTCGCTCATACTTGTTCTCCATCACCAACTGAAACCAATAAGACCACCAGAGAAATCACAAGCTGGGCATGGTGGTGCATGCCTGTGATGCCAGCACTTGGGAGACTGAAGCAGGAGGATGGCTGCAAATTGGATGCCAGCCCAGGCTACACAATGAGACCCTGTATCAAAAAACAAACACCCCCCCCCAAAAAAAAAGAAGAAAAAGGACTGGAGATGTAGCTCTGTGTGTATGTGTTTGCGTGCACTTGTGCATGAGCATGTGTCTTTATAAAGGATGTAGATTAGTGGTAGAGTGCTTGTCTAGCATGGATAAGGCCCTGGGTTCAATCCTCCCATATTAAAAAAAAAAAATGCTGGGGGTGGTGGTGCACACCTGTAATCCCAGCACTCGGGAGGCTGAGGCCAGAGGATCACTGTGAGTACGAGACCAGCCTGGGCTACATAGTGAGTTCCGGGTCAGTATGAACTACATAGTGAGACCCTGTCTCAAAAAACCAAAAAAAAAAAAAAAAGTATAGGTCCAAGGCCTGAGAAATCCCAATGTTTCAGGTGAGATAGAGAAAAGAAACTGGCAAAGGACACAGGAGCAAAAGTGTGGCAGGGGCAAAGCCAGCATAGGGTGGTAACATGGTGTGATGTTGATAGGAAATTTAGTCCAAATGAAGATTAAAAAGTGAAGGTTGGAAAAAAAAAAAAGTGATGGTTGGATTTAGTAAACTGAAAATCCTTGGGAGATACTGGCAAAAAGTAGTTGCTCCTCAGTGAGGTGGTGCATGCCTGTAATCCCAGCACTTGGGAGGCCGAGGCAGCCTGAACTACACAGTGAGACCCTGTCTTAAAAAGAAAAGAAAAGAAAAAAGATAGGCGGATGATCTGGGATGTATATTTAGTCTGTCAGGCTTCCCACCCAGCAGGCTGTGTCAGGATGCAAACCTTTCACATGTGTTTGAAGCTGAGGTTTACTGTCCTCTGATATGCTGCTTTCTTTTTTTTCTTTTTTCCTTTCTTTTCTTTCTTTTTTCTTTTTTATGCTGCTTTCTTGAGGGTGGAGGAAGTAGAATTTTTTACAGGTTTGCTGTCTCTTTAAGATGGTAGAAATGATTTGAATGAGTTTCCTGAAAGGGAAAGGGGCTTGAGTAACTTTTGTGCCCAGAAATTGCAGTTTTTCTTAGAAATACAGTTCTAAAATCTCAATTTCTTAGGGCTGGGGATTTAGCTCAGTGTTGTCACTGTCTTACAAGCACAAGGTCCTGAGTTTGATCCCTTATACCAAAAGAAAAAATAATAAAGCTAGGCGTGGCGGTGCATGCCTGTAATCCCAGCACATGGGAGGCTGAGGCAGGAGGATCACTGTGAGTTCGAGACCAGCCTGGGCTACGTAGTGAGTTCCAGGTCAGTCTCAACTACCTAGTGAGACCCTTTCTCAAAAAAAAAAAAAAATCCCAATTTCCTCTCTTTTATGCCTTTTTAAAATTTTTATCCTAGGCCAGGGATTTAGCTTAGTGGTTCCAGTGCCTGCCTAGCAAGCACAAGGGCCGGAGTTTGATCCCTGGTACAAAAAAAAAAACCCAAATATTTCCTCTGTCCTGCTTCAGAAGTGAACTTCTTCAGCCTGATAAATATTATGTACAAAAAACTCATACCTAGCATCATACTTTTGGGGGCTACTGAGGATTGAGCTCAGGACCTTTGTGCTAAGCTCCATCCTCAGCCTTTTTATTTGTTTATTTTTTGATTGCTCACTGTAGCTTTATTCATAGTAACCACAAATCAGAAACAAACTAAAGTCCATGAGCAAGAAAGTTAACCAATTTACAGTATACATAGTGGAATCCAATGGAATGGAATCAGCAATAAAAAAGGACACACCGTTGAGACAAGGCAGCTTATATGACACTGTATTGAGCAATATTAAGCCACACAGTGTTACTTTGTCTAGATGAAGTTTTAGAACAATGTGAATTTAAAGTAAAACAAATCAAAACAGTGGTTGTCTAGAGTAGAGGGAGGTGGAGTTTGGGAAGGGACACAAAGGAAATTTCCAGGAAGAGGGACATGTTCTATATTGTCCAAAATGTACAGGAATTGTGTCTTTTTCTATATTTCTGCTGCTTTGACACCTCAGGCCCTCTCTTGACTGACACCTTCCCAGGGCTGGTGAATTCAGCCTGCCTGAGGGAGCTTTTCACCTGCAAACAACCAGATCAGACCCTAGCTCTCGACCACCCTTCTCTCGGGCACCCACTCTCTCGGCCACTTTGTCCTTTCCTCATTGCCCCTGACCAGGCATCATGCACTGATACTGGCCTGGAAACACTGATAACCCAAAACCCCTCAGCCAAAGCCACTGAAGTCAGTCACACTTGCCAATCCTAAGCCTCTCCACCCTGCCCTGTTCCCTCAGACACCACGATAAAGGTTCTGCCCACTTTCTCCCCTTTCCCTTCTCTGGGGACCTGTGAGTATAAAAACAAAGCAAAACAAAAACCTGTCATTTCAACGCCAGCCATCTCCTCATCTCCTGATCCGTCAACCTTGACACACCTGAATAAGACAAAACATGTATTTAAAAACCAGATTTGTAGAGCAAAAAAAAAATTATAAATTTCCCTTTAAAAAGAATGAGCTATATAAATAATGAAGAGGATGGTGGGAAATGGGTGTAAGTACGGTTGAGACAAGGGTGGCAGAATAGCGACACCACACTTGGCTTGAAAAGCGCAAGGTCCTGAGTTCAAACCTGGTAGTCAAAATAAATAAATAAAAATGGCAAAATGTTACAGTTGTGTGATGAGTACAAGAGAGTTAGGTATACTATTCTATTTACCTTGAACACATTTGAGATTTTCCATAATAACATGTTTTAAAAACAGAAAAGCAAAACAAGGTACTTCATTTACTACATTGACTTCATGATGAACATCCATAGACTTCTGTAAATAATAACTATGCCAAGATAAAAGTACTCACTCCGGGCTGAGGAGGGGGTTTGTCAAA